TACCAGTCACAACAGTAAGGCTGTTCTATGTCCCACCTTGTTTGTGCGTGTGTCTGTGTCATTATGGCAAAATGTAGTCCTGGAGACACCTATTGTAGAGGGGACTACCACAGAGGCGGTTTTGAGTACCATAAAACTTCAAGTAGCGGCCTAGTCCCAATTAAACATGCAGTCCCTTTTACCAGCCTAATGTGGCTACATATTTTGACAAATAAATGCCTGTCTCAATTAGACACCTTGTCTGGTTGCCACGCGGTTCATTTTTTTATAGAGGTACTTTGGATGTATAAAATTGGGTTGTTGGCTACCCACTTAAACTAACATTAGTTAGTTTAGATCGCACTTACATACATAAATGCTTAAACTTTTGTCAGTATGGATATGCTAGGCTACACATTGTTAGCCCAGGTAGATTCTCCACAATTCAATCATTCAGTTAATTTTATGTAAACCATGATCACCAAAAAATAATTCATTCAGATTTAGCAGCATGGTAAACCAGAGAGACAGAAAAAAAAAAGTGGCGACTCACTACCTGCGACGTGGTCATAAAGTTAGAATATGTGTTGGTTCCTTGATTACCTGATAAGTCATTCATATCCTCATAGTCTGTAAGGTTTCACTGATCAAAAGAATCAAAACGGTTTTTCATAAAAATGAATCCAATTTGCAAATATTTAACAGGATAAAGTGGTGTTGTGTCAGAATGCTGGGTTCTGTAATCCCCAGATGCCTTAAATCCAGTGTCATAACTCTCTCTGTCTGAGCTAAAACAAATGATTCATAACTGATATGTTATTTGAAGCCTAACTTTTGTACAAGTAATATTCACACTGGTTAAAATAAACAATTTGTATTTCCCATCTTTGTTGAGCAACAATTTTGTGTGAAAAGGAATGAAAGGCCTGTCCCATATAGACACCTGTCCCAAATATAAGCCTATTGAGTTCAGTGGTTTAAGCAAATAATAGCCCGGGCTACTAATTGAAGTTTTACAGTCCTTTGCTAGGTGTATATAGCCTTTGTCTGTCTGTCTGGGGATAGATTTTGTTGGTGTCACAACCATGCAAGATGTAGTCACAAAACTTTAAAGGTGTGTAGTTAAGATCACAATAAAGGCTGAGTTCGAAGATGGGTGAGGTTCAAAGGCAGGCACTGGAAGTGGTGGGGTGGGGTGGGAAGGAAGTAGCTGTTACCACTGTAAGATGATCTTTATTTTTCAGATATGTATGACTCCCAGACAATGTATTCTGCTATTCTGACTTAAATGTCTTGATAACTATTGGACGTATTGCCAAATATTCAGTTCTCACTTTAGTTCCCTTCAGGGTAAATTGTGACAGCTTTGGCGATCTTACCTAAGACAGTGTATACATATCAGGCCAACCATGTTATCATCTTATTATTGACATCATGGGTGTTAGCATCTTGACATTAGCATTTAGCTAAAAGCAAAGCAGCGCCTGTACAATCTCACTCGCCAGCAAGATAGTTTTGTTAGTTTTACAAACACCTGCGAACCTCCAATAATGCTGTTGAACTTTGGGAAAACAGTTATTAACTTTTCAGATTACCAAAAGAGTTAAATTGTCATAATAGTGAGACTACTACATGGGCTGCAGAGGGAAGCTACTGTACTTTTAGGTCAACCTGAATTAGTACTAATGTGCACCTTTAACTCTTAAAAAGCCCACTAACCTTTATCATTACTGTGGATCAAACCGTCCATCTATCATACCTCTATTTTGAAAATACAGTATATTTGTATTCTTTGACTTTTTCTGTCTTTCTTGTCTGTGTATGCAAAGAATTACAGAGTATGGATATGTCTGTATTTGCAACTGCTTTTAAATAGCCTACAGAAGATTTTCCAGTAAATACTGGACAAACATGCAGAAAGAGAGAGAGAAAGAGTGAGACCACTCCACTTCCTATCACTTAGTCACTGTAACATGAGTCCTACAACGCCTAATGTCTGGATTATTTACAGAGGTAAAACTCATAGCAAGCTCCCTCTTCCTCATTTCAATTGAATTATTCACATCTTTCGCTCCCTCTCTCTTACATGCACTCACACTGGTAATGGACTGATACATCTTGCCAGTAATGTGGAAAATGTGTGTGTGTGTGTGTGTGTGTGTGTGTGTGTGTGTGTGTGTGTGTGTACTGTTTCCCTGAGCATGTGTGCACTTATCAGCCACACTATGTCATATAAATAATACATCAGTAAAGACACATCTCATGAGATATCAGCATTCCTTAGTGTTTGCGTCCTGTCCTCTATGGCTTTGAGCTGATATCCAGAATATATTAATCACGCTTACAAACAGCCTCATAATTACCAAGGTTTATAGGAAGCATTTCTGTTTAAATTGCCTATCTACTAGCCAGTGTGACAAATGGTCAGAAAGCAGCCTTGGTAACAACAGACCTTGCTTTTCAGAGTTGCACTGCATGACCCCTGATATTTGTATTCAAATTATTTATCGACCTGTTACTGAGTGAGTTATGAAATAAGGAATGTGATTGCTCAGAAGTGATTTATAATTAGTTTTTAATCTGTAAAACAAACAATACTGACTTTTATTCCTTCTGCACAGATCTGTTGCAGTCTGGTACATGCAGATTTACTGCTCACCAAAATTAAATTGTAGCCTACAGCATCTGCTCTAATCTATTCTTAATATTGCTAAAGCTCTCAATCATTTTGTATCACACACACACACACACACACACACCCACACACACACACACACACACACACACACACCTCCCTTTTTCTCTTGATTTATCAGATCCTTATCTGTCTCTTTGACCTCTAGCTAAAATGGACCAAGGGTGCAGCATCATATGCTTTCTTTCTTGTACAAGAAATGGTTGATGAATATAATTTTATTAGACAAAAAATATATACAGTAATGTTTTACATGTGAAATGTCAGAAAAACACATATGCCTGTGTCATGTTTTTTTTCTAATCTAAGGGTGCAGTGCATTCAGCAGAAAAGAAAAAATAGAGGCGTTCTCCTGCAAGACTTTTCATGATTACGACTCAGCATCTCAGTTACAAGCTGTATCTCACACTTAAGAGAAAAAAATCCCATAATCACAAGGAAACTACCTAACAGTTATGAGATCTTGTAATTATGAGATCTTGTCTCATAATAATAAGTCACAATTAACAGATACACATTTTGCAATTATGAGATATGTACAAGATGATTGCATGAAAAAGTCTCCCTAGTTCTTTTCTTACTGGTGAACGAATGCTTCTCTGTAAAAAACACATGTGCCTTTTTTTGTGTACACACCCTAGAATACGTTTGCCTATTCTGTGCGTGCATTTCATAAACCACCTGTTAAATTATCACATGTAAAATCATGTTTCACTTGTGAGCTTGTATGTGGGGTTTTTGTTTTCACATACAGTGCCTTACATTTCATAAATAAACTTGTAATGTGCTTATATTATATGAATTTCATCATGTGAACGAGAAGAGAGAATAACAGCAGACCTATATATGTAATGAACATGTTACATTTTATTCACTGTGATAAATTCACACTATGTAGGCCTTTTTCTTAAATGGTACAGCAGGAACATTATAGGTGTAAAATACAGAAATTAAATTATTAAATTTAGCTGATAGAGTTTTAGGGTCTCTGTATTGTGCATGATGGCTCATGACACCTGTGGTTTGATATCAAGTCGAACAAAGCTTGTTGTGTTTTCATGTACCTGAGTTTTCACAGCATCCTTTGGCTCTACTTTACCTATCAGTTCCTGTTCTTTATTTCTGAGCAACGTGTCGTGTCACGGAAAGAAAATGGTTACATTTTATCTGTAGAGAGGATCACTAAAGAACCATCTGAATAAAATAAGCGTGAACCAGTTGCGGATTTTCCTACAGGTGACATCAATGGCTGCCCACTGTGCCTTCCATAGGGTGGGCACCACAATTACTGCCCTCCCCCCATTTTTTCTTTCTTTTTTTGACAGAAAAAATAAACAAACATAAAGGGAAAATGACCTAAAGATCTAATGCTAATGGCTGGCCTGTAGCAGGGGTACCACCTCTATTCCATCTAGTTTTACAGTGATTGATTATTACAGTAAGCACATGCTTGAGCATTGATGGATATGGTGGAGCGGAGTGTGTTTGGAGTGCATTAGAGTAAAAGAAAATGACAAGGCAAAAGCCATCTGGGGCACAGTAGGCAACAATAATAATAATAAATAAATGCAAATAAAATAGAATAATAAAATAAAATAAAAAAAAGAAAGAAGACGAAGATGAAATTTGCAGATGTTATTGTTTTTGTTTGTCATAAATAAAATAAATATAAAAGATAATAAATGTGGCAAATAATTTATCAGCCTCAGCCTCATGTCTTTTCATTTTATTACCTGTTTCAGAGTTTGCCATAATATTAAAAATGCAAAAGGGGTAATGTGTCTCTGTGTCACAAGCCTTTGTAGCCTTCTAATGACACAGTTTTTAAGAGGTTTTATCCGATTTGCTCATAATAAGCTGTAGCAAACAGGACACAAAAAACATCTGAAAAGTATGTTAAATCATAACCTGATTTAAGCTATTACTGACAATTAATTTGAACGATTAGTTGTAGTGATTCAACTAACACAACCCCACACATTTTCTTTAATTAACCCGTTTTACTTCTCTTAAATTAAGTGCGACTAATTTGATAGGACTATCCCTTTAAAGAAGTCCTATATATATAAAGGAACAGTCCATTTCACCAAAAAGGGGAACTCTGTCACAGCGCCGTGAGATTTCAACATGTTAACACAAAAAATACATTATGAAGGAAAACGGACGCATTACTCTCAAACTGCTCTTAAACATGAATATCACATTACACTGAAAACCAACATTTAATGGTTTAATGTATTCCCCCAAAACGGCGCTCACCCCTTTGGGGCTTTTCTATTTATAGCATCAGCTGTTGCAATACAAAGATTAGCTATTCAACGTATTGTTTCGCAGATGTGGGGAGCACACTCCCGTCTGTGGCGAAAGGGCGGCGGTGGTGTGAAGCCGAGAAGGAGCGAGATGAGGAGGAATATGTCGGTGTGAGGACGTTTCTTTGTGTTCACGGCAGCGAAACTCACAACGGTAAGTAGCTTTCCTGCTGACAGAGAAGAGGTCGTGAATGCGGGCGTCTGTATTCACGGACAGTGCAGGCAACACTTACCGACAGTGTAAAACCAACTACTCTCAGTGTATCAACAGATTTACTGTAGCCTAGCTAACTGTCACCAGCTTATTTTGACTAATGACAGCGCTGTGAACAGTCCGGGGAAGTTAGCTCGTTTTAATTAACAACGTGAACGACTGTGTTCAGTTTGCGGAAATTCCTTTTTGCTTCAAACTTCAAGAGAAAGATGAAGCAACCGAAATCCGTTATTCAGGGGCGGCTGCTGTCGGTTTTCCATACGGCGGCTCATACACACACAGAGACAGAGAGAGAGAGCGAGAGAGACGGGCCTTGCCTCTGTGTCAAAAATGTTCCCGAGGGGACGAAACAAAAACACAGTGCCTGTCTTTTATCATATGCCAAGAACGATCACGAAATCCACTGTGCACACAGTATTTTAGCACGGTGTTTTTGAAACAGCTGTACTGTGTATCCTACACACAGTGGTGTCCAGCTCTGAAGCAGAAATGGTGTGCAGATTTAACCACTGGACAGAGAGAACAGAGAGATTCTTCATGTATCAAATCATAGGATGAGATCATTCAGAAGCACCTCAGTCTGCACACACACACACACACACACACACACACACACACACACACACCACTATTAATAGCAAAGTGAAATCACCAGATAATTTGGCTGTCTGGGGACAGAGCCCCCTTTATCCTTCCATCATAACTTCATGGAAATGTCAAACCCTGCTGCTGCTGCTGCAGCTGCTGCTGCTGCTGATGATGATGACGACGTTGCTTGTGAGGTTGCTGGTAAGCTGACTTTTGCATGTTGCTGTTTCCCAATTTCCCTGAAGCTTTATTGTGACCTTTGACCAGGGGAAATTACCTTCTGGATGACTGGTAGATGCTGGGTTTCCCACCCAGATGTGTTGGTGTGTCATCTAGGCTATTACATGTGCTTGAGGCCTGGTATTGCTTGTTATTAAGTAATAATTCCTGGGAGCAGTACTGGGCAATCTATCGGTATTATGTCAATATCATGATATGAGACTAGATATTGTCTTAGATTTGGCATAATCATTGTCTCTTCCTGGTTTTAGAGGCTGTATTTCCTGAACTTACCAGGCTGTCCTAGCTGCTTTGTTACTTGCCTTTGCCCACTTAGTCATTATATCCACGTCACTGATGCAAAAATCTCATTACAGTTTGCATACCATATCGTTGCATTATTGATATTGAGGTTGAGGTTTGGTCAAAAATATTGTGACTTTTGATTTTCTCCATGTCACCCAGTCCTGCCTGTGAGATTCAAATTGTCACTTGCATGTATATGGAGTCTCACATAGGAGAGGCCTCTTTTATTTCAAAGTGTGGCAAAAACTTGGCCTATAGTGTAGAAATAGAGGCTTGTGAGTGACTGTAAGGTATGCAATACATGAGTGTTAACAAGAGCATGATCCTTACCTGGATGAATAAAAATAAAGGATACATTATTCCGAATTAATCCAGTCCTAATTGGGCCTAATCCTAATCCTTATTGATAGCCTACCCCTTGAGATAGAAACTAGAGCAGCTAATCTGCAACTAAAATAGAATGTTTTGCATTTCAGTTCGACTACACGATAGCATCTTACTCTACTTCAGTGTTAAATGTCAAATTTTGGAACTCCTTTAATACAAAACACTGGTTGGGTATTTCTTTGATTAGCAGTTGGTTAGGAAATGCAGTCCTAAGATTTCCATCCAAAGAAATTCAGATGAATTAATATAATTTCATTCATTTTGTCATTCAGACAGTTGGGTTAGAGGTCAGAGTTTCTACTGCCAGGTGGAAGACTGAAGTCTTTGCCCCTTAAGTTTAGACTCAGGTGTCCCTCCGCTGTACATTAGCATACTAGCCAAATGAGGTAATATGGCTAATTTGGAACATCCCTAAAATCAAGTTGTCTCAATATCAGGCTGATGATATTGTCACTTTTTTTCGACTTTTGAAGGGGCGCATGACAGGACAAATTTGTGAACCACTGGTCTTAAAGGCATGCTCTGCAGGATTTGTCGTATACTGTTGGTACAATATTCAAACTTGGCCTCTCCTCCTTGGCTCAAGGAGACTGAGAGAGCAGTGGTGGTCAAGCGAGTCAGAGAGTAAATGAAGAGAAGGAGCAGTGTTACTGTGAGCAGTTACGTTCTATGGCACAAATAAACACAACCACACCTCCGCATGACACTGCAGGAAGGTGCTGTATTGCCTGATTTTGTGTGAATTCAGGTGAAGTACACGCTTCATCCTGTCCGCTTGGCTTCTCTGCTCTGTGTGTGTTTTTTCATTTTATTTTTTTATTTAAAAGGGACAATGTACAGCTCAAACATAAATGTCACCATTTGATGCACCATACCAGATTATAGCTACAAGCTAATTCACTGTTTGTCTCAACCTCAAACAGACAGACAGACCTGCAGCTTGCATCCACAGAGTAGAGGAGAGAGGCGAGGACAGCGATGTAACCTGGTCGCTATGTTTTATAGAGACCTCGCACTGCTATTGGCTGGGGATTCATAAGAGAAACCTGCTTAAGAAAATATATGCAGAGGGCAGATACAGACACCGCAACACACCGCTAGTGGGTCATAGTGATGATTGAGAGAGCATTTTTGTGTGTCTATAAATTGTTTTTTTTAGTTTTTATTTTTTTTTTTTAAAGAAAATCCTGCATAGTATGCATTTTAAGCAATGAACTACATGTTATAGTACAGCCCTGTCTCCTAGATATTATGTTCATATACAGCTCATTTGAAAGAGCAAATGCGTTTTTGAGGCAAGCGTAATGCCAAGCCAAGTACATTTTCTATTAACATAATGAGGAAATGTTGCAAATTTAAGTACCTGGCTGGCAAATCAAAAAAATGTTGATACTGAACATATCGGCAAAATGTTCCCTGACAATGTATTTCATTATTTTTTTGCCCCAAAATGCAATCTTGCTTTATATTATCCACTTGTTGTGCCCACAGCATGTTTTTTTAATTTCACCTTTTTAATAAACATTTCACTGAAATCACAATCGTCCCCTAACCTTAAACTTACGGATTTGGCAAAATTGTAGGAGTGAGCACTGAGAGTAACACAGTAAGAGAAGTAATGTCACTGCAGCAAATATCATGGGACAATTTAGCAGCAAAATCAAAAACTATGGGTATAAACTTGACAGAGGAAACAGAATTTAGCTTTTCTAATGTGTTATTTTCACCCACCCTTTGTGTGTACCAAGCAGAGTGCGTTGTGAACCAGCCTATGTAGATGTATCTTACTGTCTGAATAAAGCAGCCTTAGGTCAGTTGTTTTCTGCTGCCTCAGAATAGCAATATGCCAACAGTGTGCCTAATCACACCTAATTTGAAGACCTACATACCCACAGGCACACAGATAGGTGCAGGTTACTGACACAACATGGACACTGGCCGGGAAAATGACAACTGCATCGGTCTGAAACCATGCTGAAAGCAATGACGGTTGCGCTGTGCTGTGCACCATTTTGCCCCAGGTGTAAGATAGAGCCCAAAGTAACCTTGTCTCTGAACATAATCCAGGCAGCAATTACATTGTCACCACAATGTAATTATAAATGCAATTTAGTAATATACAAATGCAATTTCTCGGAGACAGGGTGGCGTAGTTATGCATTAGGCCTACATAAGACTATTCTCTTCTTCTGAGTAAGAAATGGTGAATATACAGTAAGAAGTAGGTTACTTGATCATACAGTCAGTGTCACTGATGCCTCGTAGTGGTTCACTCATGATGCTCTGTCTCCTGGTTAAAATTCCCAAATAGCCAGAACAAAAAAGTAAATTATTAGAATGAATGGATGGAAAGGTCAGAGAAGAAGATGCCCCCAGCAAGTCACAGAACATTAGTGAGATATTTTGGTGGTGTGTGTGAATGGCAGCCTTATCCACAGAGAATTTTTCAAAAAGGCGCACTGTTATGAAAAAAGACACCAGTGTAATTTATGGCTAAATGGGTTCTCAAACAATGCTGTGAGACTGGGGACTGTGGCAAGTTAGTCATTGGCGATGACCCATAATCATGTGATCAGCTATACAACCGTCTGTTAGGCTATTTGCACTTTGTTCTCTCAGCCAAATGTTCCAAAGAGTTGTAAAGATTTGGATTTGTCTGTTGTTTTTGGAGAAAATGTGATGAAGAGGCAGCTGACTTTGCTTACCTCATTATTTGAAATAGATGAACAAAACTATTACATTAATTCAGTACACAACAAATAACTTGATGAAATAAGTTTAAGACATCTGAAGTAAGACATCTGAATTCAATACACATCATCATTAGCATAGCCTACTGCTGCTCAAATAACCATCAGCATGAAACATAGTCTGGTTAATGAACGTAGCCACTGTCATGCCGCCACCCCTTGGTTTGTGGACTCCCCTTTTGCTTTTAGTTTGGCAATTTGCCATTGCCATCTTGTTCTTTTTTTTCAGTCAGAAGTGACCATATTTGGGTGAGGGGTGGCGCTGTGGAGTAGTTCAGGGGTGGATCTGACTGAGAAGCAGAAGACACTATCGGCAGACAGCCTGTCATTCAAAGTGGCATTAGTTCAGGCCTTAATAAAATAAAAACGGGTAAGTTGTCATGAAGGGGAAAATTCGCCATAGAGACCAAAACCGTTTTAGTTTAAGGCTGTAAACGTGTTTATGCTGCTGTAAAGTTGGACATTTTAACATGGGGATCTGTAAAGATTGACTGGCTGCTGGAGCCAGCCTCAAGTGGCCATTCAAAGAACTGCAGTTTTTGGCACTTCACTGTTGGCTTCATTTTTTTGGCCCTGAAGGTGACACTTAGTGTGAAACACTGTCAAAGGAAGGAAACAACCCAGCACAATAAGGCAGTGGCTCAGTTGGGCATATTGCATCTTACTGCGCACTGAATTTGTACTTGTGTA